AATAAAATAAAATATTTAAACATGTAGATATGTAAGCAATGTATAACTAAGTATAAAATGTGTGTAGAGGTATGCAGCATGCTGTATATAGGTTTATATTTGTATGTAATGAAAAAATTAAATATGAAAAGAAATGTTTCTTTTTTACACAAAAGTCGATTAAGTATACACTTACAAATTTTTAAAATTTCGTCTATATTGCGAATAGAGCTTGTTCAAAAATTGAATGGAATGTATATCAGATAAGATGGTAGCATAATGTATACATACGTATTATGTAGAATTTTAGTTCCCAAATAATATACACATTTATTTGTATGAGCTGCATTATTTACCCTATACTAATAATTTAATAACTTTTGTGTTTTTGGCATCACATCATATAATATAGTGCATTATATATTGTATATGCCAATTCCCAATAGTTTTACCTGATTTTGTTATACAAAAATATATTAATGTTGACAAAGAAGTTTGTGTACATAGAATAAAAAGCATTGTAATCACATATACGAGTATAATAATATTTGAAAGGAATGGGTCAAAATAGATTCGCACATGTGAATAATTTTCTTATTCTTTATCTTCTTTATTTCTTTTATTCTTTATTCTATATTGTTTATTTTGTTATATAGTGTCCTCAGTTTGAATATATTCTGTAATATTATGGATTACGTTGTTTATAAGTATAATAAGAGAGGTATTGCTTTCAAATTAAATTTCAAATAAACATGAATTTTAATTATTTTAAATTAATAATAAACTTATAAGAAAGACTTTGCGCCGGAACAGTGCAAAGAAGTTATTGTTAAACTGTTATACGAAGAAAAGTGCTACACACTCTGTAATTCTGCGTAGACTGTGTATGTATTGAAAATTTATAACTGATTTTATTTCGTGGATGTGACGAAAAATTAAATTTTAGTATGAGTCAATTTTACATTATTGCACCATTTTAAACTCTAAATGTATTTTTCTATTATATAAGTGTCAATCTTCATTAAAGTGGATTAGCCGAAATTAAGATAAACAAGAGCACACACGAGTCGGCACCTTTCTAAAAACAGTTTTTTTACGCTTCTCTGGGAAGTCCATTTAGGTTGAAAACTCGACATGTGATTTTTACTACTATAACATATCCTCCCATACTGCATGCGATGCGATCGCTCAAAAGAAATGTTAGAAGAAAAAAATTTCTTATAATTTTCAATAATTTTGCTTTCTACAGCAAAATTAGGACAATAATTGGGATCAGTATGTCTGGTTTACCATCTCCAATGCGAGTAAACATAAATAAATTTAATTGACGTTTTTTCAAACAATTATAAATATTTTATAAGATATTTAAGAATTTAAATTAAGAGAACAACAAATATCAGTTTGCTTGAATTCTACATTAATTGAATATTTTATCACCATATATTTCTATTTTATCAACTCAAATTTTATATTGGTAATAGATGAATCACTTGGAGTTAAATATTAGGTTTGGTTATTAATGAAAGGCAATTTTCACTTATGGCATTACTTAGAGACATCATAAAATCTACTAAAATCACTACGAGCCAGACGAAAAATTCGGAAATTTTATTATTTTGTTTCTTAACTTGTTTTCAAATTGAAATTTTATATAAAGCCTTATCTGGTGTGGATGGGAACAAAAAAAATGTAGTAAATTTAAAAAATATTTATAATAATTAGAAAATTCCTGTATTTATAGCGATTGAAATTCGCTTAAATAGACCATTTTATGAGTTTTGACAGGAGTAGATAAATACAAAGTGTTGTTTTACGTTATTGCAAGTCAGTAAATGGTCTGAGTAATGATCAAAACTTTATAAATTGCCGATGTGAATGAAAAATTAGTATTTTGAAAGTTAAGGGTCGTATTCATTTAACAAAAGTTTTGAATCAATCATTTGCAAAACTTTTCGGAATAATATGTAGTACTTTACTTACATGTAGTATTACCTACAGGTACAGTTTCCATAAAATTTGTGGATAAATTGTCATTTAACAATAATAAATTTTTCGTCTAGATTTCGGAAAGTATGAGAAATTATCAGGTTTTTTCTGAAAAATGAAAGCAGATTAATAATTTTTTCTACTTATGAAATCACAATTTTCTGTTTTACCTTATAATAAATTTAGAATGTATCGGAATTATATAAAATTTGTCGGTGCTTTAAGCTTAAATATGCTAAATTAAAAATGATGCTTGTTCACGGATATATGAGTTATTTTTTTCAATAAAAAGTAAAGTTTTTAGAGTATATCTAATTAGAATTTTAATAATTTTACAGTTCTTGTCGACCTTATGCCAATTCTCTTAATTTAAACCAATTTTACTTTTATTTACTCTGACTTACGAATATAAATTTATACCATTTTTAAAATATTGTTACTCGTATAAGAATACAAAGGGTAAAAAAATATTCATTTTTATTTTTCGCTTGGAAATAATTTCACTTGTTCCGCATGAAAATTGCAAATCTGTTCATAATACAATTCGTAAGCTCTTCATATTATACAATATAATATAAAATTATACTGGAAATTCATAAAAATGTACAAATTGTACATGCAATCATTTTTTCCCGCAACTACATTATTATTGTTATTTAATGTGAAATTTGAGTCGATTTCAAAATTTTTGTTTTTAAAAACTTACTTTGAATTCATCTCAGATAATCGTGTGTAACATCAATATAATAAAATTAATTTCAACTTTGATCTCATATCAAATGGTAACAAATACAAGGCAAATAACCACAAAAAAATAAAATTTTTTTTAAACATAAAGAATTTTTTATTTAGATATTTTTTTGTTTTTGCGTTCTTAATAATTCAAAATGAAAATTATTCTATTGAAACTCAATAATTTTGAATGTTTTCTTCTGCAGTTAGATTTTTTTTTTGAATAATTTTTTATCATTTATGACGCGTCTTTATTTACACAATAATATCCACATCACCATCAACATCATCATCACTACCATAATCACGAGATGCTGATGATGATGGGCTCAGTATTATCGTTTCGATTATTATGTTTTTTCAATAGTATAAAGTAAAATTCTCTAACATGATTACTGCAGCAAAAATTTTCATTCTCCTAATATACTGTTATTTTATTCGCAATACTTTTAAATAATTTATAATAAAAAGAAAGTTATTTTTTTTCTTTTAAGAAAACTCACACATTATTATAAATAAAATAAAGATATTCATAAGGATATTTTTTGAAGAAAATGAGATAAGAATAACGATTATGGTTTATTCTTAACATTCCTACAAGATTATATTATTATGAAAAATTCACTAAAGTGCAAAATTTTGACCAGAAGGTACCCTAAAGTAACCAAAAAAAAACATTTGAAAATCGGAAAATAAGCGAATATGAGTAATAATATACGCGCACATATTTCTTATTCATATACGCGCGTGTATCCTTTTGTATTAATAAAATTTTTGTTTTTATGTTATTGTTAACATTATATTATGTTACAGGATGTTTTGAAAATAAATGAATGACACAAATAGAATGTCAAAATAATTGATTTTATATATAATATAGCATTTAAAATTATTGAAAATCGAGTACTTTAAATAATTTTGGAGCTTTCCTTACTAAACAAATGTAAAGAACCCAAGGTCTTTGGTTCATTTAGATTTACCCGTAATTTGTTTATTCAGTACAATCGTTATAATATGGAAAATGGAAAAATTAAGGAAATAATAGTCATACTTTTCACAGAAATTAGGAATCAAATGCTCTGTCTACATTGTCTAGCGTCATCATTATGTTGACCAATAGCTACGATAATAGAGCCCACTAATATCCACGATAATAGAATTATGTTGACCAATACCCACAAATAAATTTGCAGTAAGACTTGAAGATTTTACAACATTTAGTGAATTGATTTACGCGTACCTGGGCGGCTAGTTAATGCTATAACAATATTTCTGCAAAAACAACCTGTAATGTTACAGGCTTATGTAGTGTAATGTTCAAAAGAAATTTTCTTATTTTACCTATGCTATCATTTTTATGGTGTTTATTTCCTTTAATATGAATTTCACATATTATAAATTCTTGCGTGTTGCGCATAACTGCTTATTATTCACATTTGTTTTTATTTTTTTTCTAAAGGATAAGTCACTTATGAAAATTAAAATTTTTTTTTATTTTTATTTTATTTTTATTTTTTTGTATTTCTTGGTAGTACTTTTTTCCTTATTTGTTAGAACATATGGATAATTTTGGCAACTGATTTTGGGTGTTATTGTCATACTCTTAGATATTACCTTGTAAAATCTTAATCTTCATGATGGCGTATTATTAATTTTTATGAGTTCCATCAGGATCACAGATTTTTATTTTCTCTTTTTATATATTTTGTTTTCTTGTTTTCTTTTGCTGTGTGAAAGGAGTTGGAATAAAACGAGAAATTTATCAAATTTTAGGGTTTCTTATACTTAATCTTCATAATTTATATACTTAAATAATATTATTGTGTGCGCATATATATATACATATATATTTATTTTTTGTAAAGAAAAAAATTATTTTAACTAATTTAAGAATTTATTTGAAAATCATAAATGAGGGTAGCATATTTTTTTTTTTTTGCTAAAATTGTCCGTGTAGGAGGGAAATCGAGCTCAGTGTTTATTCATTTTCACATTTATTTGTTTTATCTCGTTACGTGGAAGTGAAACAAGTGTGTTTAATTAAGTTTTACGTGTTAGAAATAAGTTATTTATGGACTTTAGACTTCATTTATTTTAGGATTTTTAAAATAGAATCAGGAATCATGTTCAATATTCATTTTTAGTAATGCCAAGTCTGTACTAAAGGATTCAGATTTTTTTTAAAAATCAAAGCAAATAGAAGTTTATATAAAATTGTTTGTCTGTTATGTTTGAGTACATTTTTAAAATTCCTCTTTTTGTTTAAAAAATTGTTAATTTTTTTCTTTTTGGATTATTTTCAGGATTCAATCATATCGACAAATGGATTATTGAATACAATTGTCCCAAAAATTGATACAAGTAGTAAGTAGAATTTTATTCATTTTGTATTTATTACATTTTTATAAAATTTCATATAAAGAGTAGCTACGTGTTTAAAAAATCAAGCAATTTGTATAGTCTATTAAGGTTCTAGAATTGAAACTATATTCGAACTCATAGAAAACTCTTCCAACTTTAAAGAAACTTTCTTTATCTTAGATATCGTAATACAAATACACTTTACGAGTTGTTTTGCGATATTAAGACCCCAAAGTGCTAAAATAATTAAGTGCTGTAAATGAACAGGAATTTATAAAAATCTAGAATCTATGCAAATATTTTTCACTAAAATTGTTCATTTAGTTCTCTAAATTTTAATTTCAGAAAATTACATTACTTGAGATAAAGGCTAATATTTTAAAATTATGATTTTTAAATTAAAAGAAGACAGAGTAAAATTAGATGAAAATTTGCATGTAATTTTTCTTTGAGTCAGTGAATAATTTAGTTGTGATTGTCATTAAAGTGTTGAAAACTATATTCTTTGCTTAAGATGGTGACCAACGGGTAGCAAAATTTTAAAGTATAAAAATTAAAAGCAATTAACAAGTAAACAACAAAATTTTTAAGAAATTTATGCAAATTTTCTTGCATAGAATGATTTATGTAGAAGGAGCACACACGTATAACAGTTTATATATTTCATACAAAATGAGATCTTTATTTTAAATACTGTATTTTTTATTACTATGGTATGGTAAACGCCAGTATGAATAATTACCGTTATTGATATTAGTATTGAAATTGAATAATTTAAGTTGTTTTTGTTTTGAACTTGGAAACATTTAAATCAATGTCCTAAATAATATTGACCTTAATAATATTCTAAAAATCACATGTGTATTATATAATCCATTTATTATAATTTTTTTTTAAAATTGCAATACTAAAATTAACAAGCTGATATTAAAATAAATTCATATATTTTTGTTTATTGAAAATATTGAAAATATTATACTTAGTATTTTTAATGAATTAGTACTCCTATTATATTAAATAATGTAAAATATTATATTAGCAATAAATTCTCCATAGCTTTTATTATAAATGATAATGGAGTAAAAAAAACAAAAAAATAACATTATGCGCCTATCTATATGCAATTTACACATAAATGTATGATGGTGTAATTTTAACGATTTTCTATGATGGTATTTTACTAGCGTATGTTATCGTTACGTTCCTTTTCAAAGACTTCATACATGCCAATTATATTATGTATACACTTGTTATTTATTTTTCATTTTAATGTTGTTAAAAAAGAAAAATTGTCTCTAATAAAAAAATGTACATGAAGTCCTTATGAATGAATTTTAAATATTTCATATTTTATATCGATAATATTATATTTTTTTTCCAAAAAATAATTTTGCCTTTATTTATATTTCATTTTTTTATTCTTTTGGTAATATCAAACCATGCACAAGTAATGGTTTACAAGCGAGAAAGTATTTATAAAAAACAAAAAAATATAGAGGTATGTAATATTGGTCCATTTATTTTTTTTAACAATCTACGATATTGATGTCAATACGTGTACGATATATACAATATTAAGTACATATAAATGCATATCGTGTACTATTTTCAAATAATGTAAATTAGTTGTATAGAGTGTCCACGTTTTACTTCATATTATTCATAAATTTTTTCTCAACTTCTCATTAACTGTCATCTCAATTGTTGTTAAAACTTCTCATTAACTAAAGAATCGCAGGCTATAAGGTAAGAGGTTCCATGTAAGACATAAACAAACTATTTATTTTGTATCAATTGAAGTTAAGGATATTTTGTGTTTAAATGCAAGAAATGTTATTTTTCATTAATTTCTTTTTTAAACATTAAAAATGAATTTGCTTCAATAAATTTGCAAGACCTACACCTACACGTCAATATGACTAGTAATAGGTACTAGGGTTAATGAATGGGCGACTTTAAAAATCGGCAAGTTTCGTTAATATTCGTGTAATATCAGTATGTGTTTCGTTCGGTAAAACTTGTGAGCAAATTGTAGTAAATAAAAATAAAGTTGGGTCAAACCAATGGTTTGTATTGTAGCACTTTTCCCTTCAACAACTGAAAATTCTGCTTTTATATACAGTCTATATTGTATACCTATCAAACTATTAAAATTATTTTCATTCATATACAAAACTATTTCTAGAATTGCATATATTTAGGATGACGCATATATGAAATGTTTGAAATAAAGCAAAAATTAATATAAAATGGGGTTAACATAATGCTCGATTTTAAGGGTTAATTGTGTGAGTTAAGAAAAATAATTATATTTTTTAATTTCATGGAATTTACCGTTAGCTTTTTGCGTTTATAAAAATTTGGAAAAGCTTGCGGTTTCGGAAATATAAGGAGTCAAAAATTCAAATTTTAAGAATTTCAAGAGGTGATAACTTGAGAGGGGGTGGAGATGGAAAAAAATTTTCTTCTAACGAAATGAACTATTTGTTAATGTCTAAAAGCTCCTAAAATTTCAAGCTTCTACAGGCTGGGGTCTAGAAGAAAAATGACATCAAAAATTTGGAAAAAAAGGACTTTAGATAACGGTAAATTTGAACAGCCATTTTGTTTTTCTAAAGTTTAACTATAGCATACCGCGCTAGGGGAAGCAAGCTACTGCCTTTCTGCGTTTGCAAAATTTCAAAAATGCTTATGGTTTCATTGCAACAAATATTTAAAAAAGGCCATTTTTAGTGTTTTGGGGGGGTAAAACTTCTAGAGGGGGGGAGATAGGTAAAAATTTTGTTCTACGGAAATAAGTTTCTAGTGAAGATCTATGTACGTATGAAATTTCAGCTTTCTATCTTAAAGGCTGTAGAAGTTTTGTAAACAAAAAAAGTGTCCACGGACGGACGGACGGACGGACAGACGGACGGACGGACGGACGGACGGACGGACGGACGGACGGACAGAGTGAAACTAATAAGCACTTTTTTCAAAAAATTTTTTGGAAAAGTGCTAAAAATTTACTACAAACTACAAATTGTAGCTTGCTTGTTATAAACTTTGATTATACTTTGTTTATATTCATTTCCAATCTCAACAGTCTCTAATTAATAACCTATTAATGTTTAAATTTACAATATAAGGAAAATATTTTTTATGTTATACTTTATCTTTATTAAGACAGCAAGCATTGTTTCTTCATAGTACGTGTATTATATTTTGTAATGTTACGTTTAAGATAAGAAATACTTGCTCCAAAACTTTATACAGGATTTTCAGAAAAGATACATCAAAGGGGAATCAAAAAATAAGTAAACCTTTTATTTCGGAGTAGATTGCAAATCTCATGGTCTCTCAAATACTTGAATTTAAGAAGAAAGAAAATTTTAAAGAATTTTAACATGACCAAAATTGTTTTAGTTATAATTTCCAACATATAGTTTCTGAACGGGTTTGTAAAGTGCTATAAGATATCAAATTATAATTTTGTAGTTATTGTATTTTCGGAAATACAACCACTCGAACTACAGAACAATTACAATTTTTCTCATTATTCATTTATTTCTCTTTTCTTTAATTCAGAAATTTTTGTAAGAAATTTTTCGGAACATTCAGTATATTGACATTGCCGAATAATACATTTAGCACTTTATGATTTTTATTTTATATTGATATGGCCATATAGAAAAATTTTGTAAATATCTATTGGATTTGTAAAACTGTAATGTCACAATTCAAAAATCTCTAAATAAAAGGTGAATATAATTTGAAATTTAATCAATTTCAATTACAAATTAATATTAAAGTTATGAGCTGAAGAGCATCGGAGGACGCTCAGGATGGTTTAAAAAATTTTTGTTAATGAATGATATTGTTAATATGTATAAATGAGTGCTCCAAAAATTTTGTAATTTTTATTGCTGAAGACAGCTACTCAAAATATACAAATACTGTTGAAGGCAATTCATTTTTGATTAAGATTTTCATTAGTAATAATTTTCTTAATTAATATTACTTTTTATTCTTTTAGTGATGGGACTTTATTATAGTATAAAATTTTCATATAATTTAAAATTTAAACTAGAACATTGGCTATTTTCGAATTTTCAAATATTACAGTTAGCTGGTATTCAAAATGGTTTCATCATATTATACGAAAGAAAAAATATTTTTGCTTGAGAAAAACAAAAAAAAAATTACATTTTAACATGAATTTCAATTACAAAACAAAAACAAAATAAAAACACAAAAAAAAACATCGAATACTCGAAAATAAAGAAATTCAAAGTGGACATTTTACATTATCAGCGCCTTGTTTATATGCAATATTTCAAATTGTGACATTATACTTTTAGTGGTGCGATATTTTATTTATTTAAATCGTTTTTTTTTTGTTATAAAAACCATATTTATATGTATTTTATGGTATAAAAGTAATAGAAAAGCAAAAAATTAAAATAAAAAATATTTTTTTAGATCATCAGTTAAAAAAACAAAAAAAAAATACCAAGTTTATATTGAATGGTAAATAGCAAAAGTGTTAATATCAAAAAGACAAAAAAAAAATGTATTTTATGGAATTCAATACAGATACCTAGTTATGCCTACATTATATATATTAAAAAAAAAATAGAAAGAACAAAAATTGACTTAAAAATAAAGAGATGAAAGGATATTAATTTAAGGTAGGTTTTGTTGTTTCTTGTTTTTTTTTTTTTTGTATTCTCAGATCATATTTTATTTATAGGAAATATAAGTAATGTCCTTGTAAAATTTTTTATATGTTGCGTAGTAAATAATATGTAAAATATTAAAATTCATAATATAAATGAGAATTCAAATTTACTTACTATAATGTTAAATGCTCGGGAACCTATTATATAACACATAAGACACTAGTAAAGTTTCATGTATTTTGCGAATTTTGACAATTAGTTAAAATTTTTCATTATTGTTTTGGCACCTATTTTCAAATTAAGGAAGTTTTGAATAAAATTTTATTAGGTTATTTTTAAAGTTTTAATGGAATAACTGATTGAATCACCCCACCACAAGTATAGAATATTTTGAGTTATGAAAATTTAAAGGTAATTTTGAGCACATTAGCTTTACTTTTATCCTACTTTGCATAGAGCTCATATCAGAGATAACCGAAAGAAC